ACACTATGACGTGCTGCTCTGGAATTTTTCTTAACAAACAAACACAAACAAAACAAAAAAGAAAAGTTCTCATGCCTAACTTTTAGTTCCAAATAACTTAAAGGGGAAAGTTATAACAATAGTTAAAAGTACTGTTCCTAATATTCTGACCCTCCCATGTATATTTCTGGGGAGGACATAAATATAAATACCTCTAAATATAATGTAGTCCAGTACAACACCACCTGTGACCTCAATAATAAACATACAATTGAATTTACACATTTGTGACAAATCCACCAAAACTGAAACATTTTTTAGCTTCATAAACACGGATGTTAAGGTGGAAGCATTTCACTGAATTGCATACAACTGTACAGATGAAGCTAACAAAGTGGCCAGTCTAGTTCGAACACTTCTATGCACATTTCTTCAAAATAAAACAAACACAAATCTGGCCCAAAACTTAAATTCCATTTTCCTTTCATAGATTTACAATGGCATGCAGAATCATTTTTTTTTTAAATCACCGGTCTACCTAACTTAACTTTAAAACTGGATTTTTTTAGCTACTCTGTGAAACGTCTTTATACATACGTGTACAAGAAATGTTCTCGTTTGTAGTGCCCAGCTTCTCCCAGTTCCCCTTATTGCATTTAATCGTGTTTCCTCCCATCAGTGTATGCGTATCACGGCACTGATAAGTTACTTCAGTATCAGAAAAGTACTCCTTCTGATATGAAGTCATAATAACAGCATTCTCAACTTTAGGTGGGGGACTGCAGGAAGTGCCAGGAGCTGCAAGGGGTAAAAACATGTACAGTATTAGGCTACACCCCATAATGGTTTTATGAACACTTTAATCTGATCAAAACAAACTCAAGATGACTCACGTTTGCATGTTTCTTTAAGTGATCCTCTGTTTGACTGCCATTCTCCCTGGCGACAAGTCAAGCGGGCCAGCTGTTGAAAGGATCCTCGCTCACATCTGACCTCTACCTCTTCTCTATCTGTGTAACTTGTTCTTTGAGACGTCACTTCTCCATTAGGAATCTCAGGAATTGGTCCACAACTAGTTTTATCTACAGTGAATAAAATTAAAGAGTTGTATATTATTGCAAACACGTAATATTAGTTAAACAGCATTTATCTATTCAGAATTATCCTGTACCAGGACTGTCACTCTTTAAAAAAAAAAGTCCAGACTGGACAAACTGGAACTAACACAGTTCATCCACGTAGCCTGTTCCAAAATACGCTCAAGCTGTGGCCTGGAATTTGCTTCCTATGGGAAATGTGGCAAGAATCATTAGCTGCTAATGCAGTTTCAGATTAAAAATACATTGTTTGTTTATACAACTGTGTTGAAATATACTGCATTGGCCCAAATATAAGACAATACTTTCTTCTGGAAATGTTAGATATTCTTGCTAAGGTAGAGAGTACAGGTCTGGCATGGCCTCCTGCAGGGAGTGCTGGAGTTTGGGCTATTTGTAACCTTAATGTTGCTAAGCTGCTGAATGTTTTCACTTTATTTAATAGCGAGTCCTAAAGCCTTCAGTCCTGATAGTACAGTAAGGCAAACAGCAGAGAAACAAGGGCACTGCTTTGATTCAGTAAGTGCAAGAATAGTAGGCAACAAACAAATGTTTTTACTGTAACTGTTTGTCTTACAAGTGTTTGTCATTTTAATACTAGAAAGTCTTTACTGAGTCCAAAACTTCATTTCACCTTCTCACTAAAGATGTTGATATTCTACATCGACAAGCCACTGCAGGCAAAGTGCTTTAAGCTGGTTATCACTACACCTGTAAGATGTAAAATATTCATTACCGATGCACTGAAGTTCAGACAGCTCATCGCTATTACATTTGGCTTCACCCCACCAGCCCTCAGTCAAAAGCTTATAATCTTCATTGCAGGTATAGTACAGTTTTCCATCAAATGGGCCAACCATAAATCCATTAGGAAGTTCAGGTTTTTGACATGTTGCAGCTGTAAAACACATAAAAAGTTAAATTCTGACAGCATCTATCAAAAAAATCAAACACATTCTTGCTAGTGGTGTTGGGATCATGGCAGTGTTGTTCTGCTGCAGACAGAAATACTTAAAGGTTTAGACAGATTTCAATGTATTTTGACATTTATGGTGATCAGCTGCGGTGCCACCTGCAGGTCACAGTTTGCACCTACTACATGGATTCATGCTACATTTTACAGACATTCATGGTCCCAGACAGATGAGCCCTGCTGACCTTGGTGACCTGTGCTACCAACAGGTGTTTAGAAGCTATAGGCACTTACTGAACTGATTTGAAGTTTAGTAAACAGACTCCTGTCCTCCACAGGATAATTTGCGATAACTGTGATGATCTTTAACATTTAATCTAACACCACCACCAGGCCACAATTTCAGTTTGGCCAGTACTTTGTTTTGTGGCTGAATACCTGCAAAACTAATGACATTCCCAACCACTTCAGTTGTATTTTGTGTTCTGGGATAATTAGCAGGTGCTAGCATGTTAATGCTAAACTGAGATAAAGAATGGTAAACATTACAGCTGCTTTACATTAGCATGTTTGCATACCCATAACTACAAAGCCACTAGCATGACTGCTGATTGTTAGTCTTGTTAAAACAAACAAAACCGGTGTGTATCATCATGGCTGCATTCATCACTGATGGTACGGGCATCACAAAGTTTTTCCATTGTCATTCCTGCATGCACATTACACTTGCTCACTGGGGCTAACTTTATTTGAGTGCTATGAAACTAATTAAATCAATCTGCAATTCACACAGATACAGTCATGTGTAGGTTGTTTCTAATTTTCTGCATCTTCTAACTAGTTCTCCACCTTCAGGAAATCAGAAGACAAGTTTCCCTTCAGGCATGTATATTCTTATAACAGGCTGATAGATGAAATGATCTATTCTGCTGTCTGCTTTCTAAGTACTGAGCTGTTTTCACTGACTGGGAGTTAACAAGTCTGGCAGGTTTGGTCATTTCTTCAAATGTATTTAAACTGCATGTATGTAAAAACGAAATTAAAATGATACTGTAGAAAAAATATATTTAAAAAACCTTACCAACAATGAATTTGCCATTTAAACTGCATCTGTTCTATTGTACTGTATTTCTTACCCGTACATTGTTGCTGCCCAATCCAACCTGTTTC